CCAACGGCATCCTGGAAAGACATTCCCCAATGCCGAACGTGCCACGGCTACTCGCCGGAGGAGACACCATTTCGAGCTTGTGCTGGATGGTGTGGGTGGTCCCCAGTGTCTTCGTGGCAGTACATGCCCGCATGCCAGGGTTGCGGACTGCGTTCGGATCTTGGCCCAATCTAAACAGAGCTCTGTCAACACCGGACAGTTGGAGTTTCTTTGGTCTTTCGAGTTGCCAGCAGTCTTTGCACGCCTTGCCGCGTGACTTACAAAAAGTCATTCGCTTCAACTTTTGGACATGCTCGAAAGGGAGCCGTCCCTTATTATTAAAAGTTCCTTTTGCACATGAGTGTCCTCAGAAATCCTATCAAGCAGGCTTTACAGAGCTGCCTGCTGTTAGTTGCCTCACGCGCAGCTAAGCATAGGTTGGATGCACAGAGGCCCTCCACGAATTCAGAGGGAAAATGCAGGACAGATTTTGTTTCGGCTCCTCCGGTATACATTGCTGCCATAGTCACCAATGACAAACCATGTGATGCAGAACCGTAAAGTTTATGAGGTCTTTTCGCTGCTGGCATCCTGCATCAAGCGGCGCGCAGCAAAGGCAGGAGAGCGTACTCAGTCAGAGCTCAGCTGCTCATGCTACGAAGACTGCCGGGTGCTGATGCTGCTTCGAACCTACCTCTATTGCTGCCACTGCCAATGCAACTACTGCTGCTACTGCGACTAGTAAGACTACCTCCGTTGCTAATGCTACTGCTGCTGCCGCCGCTGCTGCTGCTGCTGCTGCTGCTGCTGCTGCTGCTGCTGCTGCTGCTTCCACGCTACTGCCAACCGCTACTGCTACTTTTACTGCGGCGACAGCAACAAAGGCAAACACAGGAGCAGCAGCAACAGCAACAACAACAACAGCAGCAGTATCAACAGAAACAACAATGACAATAGCACTCACTATTACAATAGCAATACCAATACTTGTAGTACCAATGCCGATTACCAATAGCAATGCCAACAGCGACAGCGACAGCGACAGCAACTGCGCCAGGACCAGCACCAGCACCGTTGTAGCGCAACAAGACTACGCAACGCCTTGAAATCTTGGCAAAGCCGTGCGAGTCTGTGGCATGCCAGGTCTCCGGCATTATCTCGCCACAAGCCGGAGGTCGTTTGCATTTTGCACCCGTGTGCCGTTTGCTTCCGAGTGCACACCCGGTAGCAACAGCCTCGGAATCTGTCTGCGAGATGGGTCAGCATCAGCCTGGAGAACCGCTGGTGCCTTAGGATAGCAGCGGCTATGTGTTGCCCGCCAGCTTTCCGCAGCTAAGTTGAAGCTTCCTTTTGCTTCCGGCTGCCGAGGCCTCCGATGGCTTCTTGCCAGCAATCGGCGATGATGCCGAGGCACGGCCTTTGTCTGTCAAAGTTGGTGCTGCTTCTGGTTGCGGTGGTCAAGGCAGACCTCGGGGACGGGCTTGTGCCAACAAGGGTCCTTCTGCTGGAGGACGGCGAGGCTTGCAACTTGCAGTTTCTTTTTTTCCGATCTGTGCCGATGCATGTGAGGCCCTTCTGCGAGGGCTGGCCTGTGGCCGGTATGCCTGGATGGCCTTGGGCAGCATCTTTGCCCCCGGAGCATCAAAGGCGCGAACCTCTGTGAAGCGATGCCTTAGAGCCTTGCGTGGCCAAGAACGCGAGGCCTCCGCACAGCACCGGGCAGTCCTTGGTTTGGGGCCGGAGGCTGGGCCAGTCGAGGCCCGGGCCCTGCGGAGCCTCTGCGGAGCTATATGAATCCGGGAGAGGGAGAGTGCTCTTCTGACTTCTTGGGTCCCTTCAGGCGGGTCGAGCTTATCGCAAGCTCGCCAGGCATCACCATCCTGATAAGGCGCTGCAATGCTCTGCTTTGCCCAGATGCCATGGTGGCAGCATGCCGAACAAGATCTTGACATTTCAGGGTGGCGACGCAGAAGCTTTCCTGCGACTTCGTGCTGCATACAAGGCACTGGCGCCACTCTGTTCGCAACAAGCTACTGTACCGTGCTGGCCGTCATGGGGATGATATCCCTCTGCATGGACCTCTCGTGTTGAACAGATGATACAGTTGTGACGCCAACATCGGCCAGGAGCTAGTGTAACCTAGATACTTAAAATAAAAAGTAAAATATATGGAATTTCTGAATCAGAAAATACGCCAGTATCAGAGGAAGCATACATCATTGTAGTACATGATGCTCTTTGGACTCGTGTCGTCATGGATTCGGAGTTCAATGCGGGCTGGTTGGAGCTAGCTGCCTGCAAGAGCTTCCCCAAGACAGTGCGTCAACAGCTGCTTATATGGCATATAGATGTTGTCCGAGGACAGACCCTGGAATCGATGATCCCACCACGCCACCCAGGCCAGGGGCAAGTTCTCGAAATTGTTACAGGTCCAACTCGAAAGAGTCCACACTGTTCGTGCTGACCTACGTCTTGCTGTGGTGCGTCTTACGATGGGGCCTGTCGCTCTCGAAGAGGAGCTTGGATGTGATAACAATGATGCTGGTGCCGCAAGTGAGGACATCTCCGCAGCTTCTGCACATTGAGGACACGTGAAGAGTCAAGAGCAGCTGTGCCAGCAGGCTGACGTCACAGGGCACATAACAGGGCACAGGGCACAATACAAAGCACTTTTCATGCCGCTTACTTTCTCCACAGCAGAACACAGCTTCGCACTGTCCGGTACCAATGTAAAAAACAGTTTCGAGGCAAGACCTACCCTACTGTACTATCATCTCTTGTGATGGAGTCGCCGGCTCTTGCGGTCACTGCTGCGGCCCTGGCTGGAGCCCCGGGGCCTTTCTGAAGCAGCCCGTGACGGGACAGATTTGCAGTCGACTGAGGCCGCTGGGAGTGTGGCGACTTTCTTATCGTGGCTTCGCTCACGACGTGTGCGTCTTTCGGCCCCGACCGCGGCGGACGTTCTTGTAAAGCACGGCAGCTCGCTCGTCGGGGAGAAGGCCTTTCGAGAGTGGTTTCGAAGAGGTCCCTGGTCTTGTCTGAAGTCTGAAGTAGTTCTGTGCAAAGGTCCTGGTCACGGGTGCCTGTAATGGCATTGGCTTGGCTGTGGCTCGGGCACTGCTTGATGCATGTGCGACGCCCAGCTTGAAGACGGTCGCTGCAAGACTTTCATAAGGAGCAACGCAGCAGGAATGAGCTCAGGCCCTGATTGCAGGCTCATGGTGAACGGGCGCAGTATGGAGCGAGTCAGTGGGATGCCACCAGTCTTTCTATTTGGATGTGTTCGATCTGCCACCGATGTAGGGCTGTGGGTTTAAACATTAACGGCACGGCTTGATTTTTCAGTTTTCTCAAGGATGCCGTCCAGGATACCCGATTTCAGATAATTTGGGCTCCATTCGGCCTCAGGTCCTTCGGTGTGCTGTCCTGAAATCTGCACCTCGTAGCAGCGACCATGCTCCGCTCGGGTCGTTGTGGGTACTCCGCCCAGGCTTTCCCAACTCCCGGCGCATGCACGGAGCCGTTGCCACGCGGCCCGAACGGCAGATGATGCTCCAACTTTGGGCTTCGATTCGACTTCGGGTTGATGATCTGCAAAAGCCGGACCAAGTGACCATAGTATCCCTTCAGCTGTGCTGAGGCGAGGCTGCAATTGCCGATCTTAGCAGCCTCAGGGAGGTGGATGAGCTGTGCAAGAAGTTGGCCGAATCTCCTCCAGATGCTCCGTGGCTTCTATATATATATATATGTGTGTGTAATGTATATATTCATATATACGTAATACTTTACACTTTACATGTATGTGTGTGTGTCTATATATATATATATATATGCTCGCCCCTCCCCCCATGATCCACAATCGGAGGGTCTGATGAGTGGGGGGAACACGCACAATGCAATTAGCACAGGAAGCTCCGCTTGCATTTTTCGCGCATTTCTAGGCACCGTGCCCTCAGCCCCTCATCATACATATTAGACACGCCCCCGCTCCGTATTCGTTGTATATGGTGCTTCTTTCGTAGAGGTGTGCGTTTCTAGGCACCGCACCCTCCCTCGGCCCTTCATCATACTTGCAAAGTAGATACGCCCTCTGATCGTATACTTGAAACACGCTTCCATTTGTGGCGATTCCGGTTCCAAAAAAACCAGGGTCCAGTTTTTATGTGTATACTTCTTGCGATATTATGGTATGTGCGATGACGTCTCTCTGCTATCCTCTTGTGTGTTATGCGCAGAGGCTATACTACTGCGGAATGTCAGGATCTGCTTGTGAAAGCGCACATAGAGCATGCACGCAAGTTTGCACTCTTTTGCAGCACGACAAACAGTCGTATGATGTCGTGTGCAAATGCGTGTCTTGTGTGAAAACACAGCCTGCCGTACAATCTCTTTCAGATGTATATGAAGATCTCGTCCATACACGAGCCTTTAGAGGAGTGTACGTGTCACTTTCCACAAATGCCACTCATCCAGGCGAAGATAATGGGATTCATGAGCTCCGCAGACCACATATAATACGTGCTTGGCAGCGATGAATCTCCGTTCCTGCGGGTATGTTGTTTAAGCATGTACGATAAGGAACAAGATTTCGTTTTACACACACTGCCTGGGTGATGACGCCAACGACTTTAGGAAACGTCGAGGGTGCAGATGGCAATCGTGTATGATGTTCGCGCGGATCTGAGAAGCCTGTGATTTCATCCCACGCCTCGGTAGGGAGATTGATGCCAAAAGCACGTTGCAAAGACCAAGTCCACGCCATAGCACCGCGAGTCTAGCAAGTGAAGCTTTTGAGCCAATGTTGCTGTATTTGAGACTCTTCACCCCATCATGAACATGAGTTACCAAATCACATCAGTAACACCGTTCACATTCACGCTTGCATTGCTTTTCTGCTGCGCAAAGCAATGAGTGCCTCAAAGTCAAACGGAAAGCCTTATTGCTTATGCGTTTCTCACTTGTCTAATGCCCGAAGCATCTCACCGGTCTTTGTCCAAAGATTATTACCGCTCGTATATACAAACAACATTTTACAACTATCTCATATATCATTTGATAAATCTGTCAACAGGTAACATTGTCCTTCACGAACTTCTTGTTTTGGTGTACAACATTACAATGTACAGCACTCGGGGTCTTCATCTTATAGGCACGGGCGCCGTCGGTGTGTAGAATGACTGCGGGATTCCATTTCATCAACGAATATCCATTGCTCATTAACTTGTACTTGTAACCATATCAGAAAATAACATCCCTTGCTTAACTTCCATGCATGCGTATTCCAAATTCATCGTATGCTGGCGATGCCAAACTCGACATGAAAACGGATGGCCTTTAAGACATAGCATAGGCACATACCAGCACATCAACAGGTTAACCCAGTTTAAGGGTTATATTGGAATATCACGATAGGAAGGAGGTCCAGTTTTTTGCTACAGTGTTTTCTTCACGTATTAAACACAAAACACAAAATGCATCAAAATGCGGATCAAGGGTCATATCACAACCTCTCAGCTGAAGTGCATGTCCTTCGTGTGAGCCTGTGAGTAGCGCCTACGTTTCCTGTATGAAACTTATGTTGAAAGCCTCAGGAATGAAACCTAGATTTATACAAACAATGTGAATAGCTGAGACACTGGCAAATCCA